TTTTGGAGAGGTTTTCGCTATAGGGCGCGTGCGCTCGCCAGACAGACAGAGAGAGACATAGAGACAGAAAGCGAGAAATCACCCCCAGGAGGGATGGTCACGCCGCAATCCCTTCTCCTCCATTCTCCTCTCGGGATCTTGGGCATGCACGCACACGCGCCCGGCGTGAGATTTAAGCCACCGGGTCCGGGACGCAAACCGTGGTCGACTACGTGGGAGTCCAGCGACATAGCCCTTACGCTAACTGCTGGTTCCCGGGTTTGGTGCGTTTTTAAGAGAAGATGTGGGCAGGGCAATTTCCAGGGAGGCAGGACTGGAATGGGTCTTGAGGTGGAGAGAGAGGACTGAACCTTGGGATCAGGTGAGTCAAACTGGGATGAAATATGAATGTAGTGGGAGTGGCCTGAGCAGATCTGGGGGCAGGGGAGCACCTCCTCTTGAAAGAAACTAGGGTTCTTTAAGCCTTCCCTCTGTCCCATTAGGGCCCTGCTGAGATAGTCCAAGTGAGTTTTCTAGCTCTTAGAAAGGGGTGAGGTGGTCAGGAAGGCAGGGTGGACTCTGGGCAGGCTGGTGGGAGCTGACCCACTGAGCTCCTTGGGCTTGGACCCGTGCCCCTGCAGGCTCCCTAGAGCTGGCCATGACTCACCCTGAGTTCTACTGGTACGTGGATGAGGGCCTCTCCGCAGACAATCTGAAGAGCTCCCTCCTGCGCAGCGAGATCCTGTTTGGAGCACCCCTGCCCAACTACTACTCGGTGGATGACCGCTGGGAGGAGCAACGCGCCAAGTTTCAGAGCTTCGTGGTCACCTACGTGGCCATGCTGGCCAAGCAGTCCACTAGGTAGGAAGTCCAGTTGCACTGTGGTGTGTGCCAACCTTGAGTATACCAGAAAGGGTGCATTAGGGTAGAGAATGGACTCCTAAACCCACATCCCCTTACTAAGAACCTTTTTCCTTGGAAGCCCTTCTTCCCAATCTAAGTCAGAGCCAAGTATATCCTCGCTGTCACTACAGCAAGTGAAAGTCTCTTTTCTTTTTCTGTTTTTAATTTTGCCAGAAAGCACACTTGCTCACCAGAGGGAGGGAGAAAGAGAGAGGAGAGAAGAGAGAGAAAGAAAGCTCTCCCAGTGGGGTGTGGTCATGCTGCTCTCCCTTTCCCCCCATTTCGCTACACTGTTGGTATTTAGAGCACACACACAGGCACCTAATGTGTTTTTCAAGCGGCTGGGTTAGAGATTTGAACTGTGGTTGGCCATGTGGGGGTCTAACTTTCCTAGCCACCAGGCCATGGAGCTGGTCCCAAAAGCCCTTTTTCTTAATCAGTGCTAATGGTTAGTGAATGTGACAGCTTTGGAGGAGGTAGGAAACCCCACAACTCTTGCCCTAGTGGCCTTCTCTAGAGGTGTGGACCAGGGAGTAAGGAGTTCCTCCCTGCCTCTCTGGTCCCCAGAGAGACAGTGGACCAGTCGTTTCTCTGGACGTCAGTGTTCCTACTTGTAAAATGGAGATGACGACTTCCGCTCCTTTTCTGGAGTTATCGGGAAGAGGTGAGCAAACAGGTGCTTTCAGGTGGAGAATGCATTGAGATGTGTCTAGGAATAGCATCTGGGTCACTTTCTTCCAGGCTCGGGGCAGCAGTCCTGCTGGTCAACAACTCCAGCGCTTTCCCAGGCCCCTGCCCTGGCAGGCCAGTCCCAGCCACAGGGGAAATCATTCTGCTTGAAATACCCTTGTTCTTTCCCTTGGTTGTCCGTTATAGTGAGCAATCACAGCAATAATCAGAGCTAATGTCTATTGAGTATTTATTCTGTGCCGCACAGTGTTCTAAGCCCCTTATACATATCATCTCATTTAATTCTCACACCAACCCAGTGAGGTGCGTGCTATTTTACAGTTGTGGAAACTGAGACACAGAACAGCACAATTAAGTCAGTTGTCCAAAGTTTTAAAGCTCATCAGTGGTGGGTGGAATTCAAGCACCGGTGTTCTAACCCAGAGTCCTCACCCTTTGTGTTTCTAGGCCAGGTGCTACATTAGGTGCTATCTCCCTGCTATGTTGCTTTGCCAGGCAAACTCCTATTCGCCTATTAAGATTCAACCTGGGCTGCTTTATCCTGAGGCTGGATTAAATGCTCACGCTACCTGTTTCCACAGTCCCCTTCCTTCTCCCTAAAAGAAGCAGGAAAGAGCATACACAGACACTGGAGTTGGATATTCTGGAGTCCAACCCAGTTACTCTGCTTACTAGCTGTGGGTGTTTTAACAAGCTGTTTGCCTCTCTGAGCTATAATTTCATCACAGCGCTTGTCACGGGGTATTTTAGTTATAACTCAAAATGTAGTTCTCCAATCAACAACATCAGAATCTCCAGGGGCTTGTTAGAAATGCAGAATTGCATGCTCTTTCCCAGACCTACAGTATTTCCTGGTGATTTGTTGGCACATTAAAGTTTGAGAGAGGTCTAGTTAAATTATTTGTCTCAATAGAGTATGAATTTGCTGAGGACTGGGGTTGTTTCTAGTTCATTTCTGTAGGCCTAGCCCCTGGCACAGTGCAGACATCCCTGAGTAGGGATGTCTGAGGAATGAATGAAGCTAGAAGGTACCTAAAAGAAAGTGATGTGGCTGAGTGAGGAAGCTGAGAGAGACTGATATTAGAATAATCTTCAGGGGTTTAGGTACCAAAACTCCTGCCCTTAGAAAAAAAAAGCCCTTCTTTCCTTCCCTTCCTCCTAGAGCTTAATATCAATGGTAACAACCAGAGCCCCTGTAGGTTTGAATTTAATGCCTTCTCCTGGATGAACAAAATCTTTATTATTCTATTATTGGTTACTCAAGAGATGGCAGCATGTATCTTGCCTTATTAAGGATAATACAGATGATCACTTTCACTACTTCTCTGGTAATACTCGAATTTTAGAAGTCATTCACTGCATGTGTTGTCCTTTGCCTTTTGTATCTTTGTTACGGGCATTTTAATTCTATATACATTTTAAACCCATGAAACATTGCATTATTATTTTTCAAAGTCTGTATTAATTTATATTTATTCACATATTTGCCTTTTCTTTGGCTTTTCACTGCCTTCTATCATTTCATGTTTCCCTCTGGGATCATTTTCCTTGTGTCTGAAGAACTCTCTTTAGTATTTCTTTTAGTGAAGATTTGCTGGCAATAAATTCTCTGTTTTATTTGCCTAGAAAACATCTTTATTTTAAATTTTATTTTTGAAGTATACTTTTACCAGTATGAGATTATAAATGAACAGTTATTATCTCTTAATACTCTAAAGATGTCACTCCATTGTCTTCTGACTACCATCATTTCTGTAAGAAAGTCAGCTGTAAATCTTTTGTTGATGTTGCTCCTTTAAATGATTACCCCTTTCCCTCTAGTTTTTTTAAAATTTTTTAAAGAATTATTTTATTTAACTTTATTAATTATTATTATCATTATTATTTTCTAGTTTGATCAGAGAGAGACAGAGAGAGAGAGAGGAAGTGAGAAAGCAGGCCACTAGGTCCGAGACTTGAACCATGGTCAGCCATGTGGGAGTCCAATGCCTTTAACCACCATGTCACTTGCTAGCCCCATCCCTCTAGTTTTAAAATTTCTCTTTGTCTTTGATTTAACCAGTCTCACTAAGAGACATGTGGTGTAGTTTTCATTGTGCTCATTCTGCTTTTGGTCACAGAGCTTCTTGAATCAGTAGGTTGATGGTTGTAATAAGTTTTAGGAACATCTTGGCTTTTAGCTCTTCAAATATTGGTTCTACCTTGTTCTTTGTTCCTTCTCCCTTTAGGACTTGGATTAAACAAATGAGTCCCATGTGTTTCAATTCTCTTTTCTATTGGGTTGTCAGAAAAGTCATGGTGCATTTTTTGCATAGAAAAAATATGTCATTACTTATCTGATGACCCAGTAGGTTTATCTATTTTTTTGTCTTTCTGTGTTTTGGTTTGTATATTTCAATTCATTAATCCTGTCTTCTGTTGTGTCTAATCTTCCATTTAATGTCTACTGAATTTTTAAGGTTAACATTGGGGTGTTTTCTGTTGAGATTGTTCATTTGTCTCTTTGTTATGGATCTCAATGACTGGTGAAACTCTTTATTGTTTTATTTTGCCCACGGTCTGTTCTTAAACAAATCATTATTTTAAAGCTCTTATCAACTAACTTTCAGTATGTGAATAACCTATGAATCTGTTTCTGTAGTCTGTTCTTTCACTTAGTTTTTGGTCATGTGGCCCTATCTGTAGATCCTCTGATTAATTTTTGTTAAAAGTGAACACTGTGTCTAAAAAATACAGAGGTCCAGATGATGTTATTTTCTCCAGAGAAAGTGTACACTTCCCTCAACTATGCACATAGAGTCAGTCAGTGACTATATCATTGTCAAGGATGATTTGGATTCCTTAAAAGTCTTGGTCTGCCTCTAGTTTATGATTTGCATCCCTTAAAAGTCTTGGTCTGCTTCTAGTTTGTCCTAGGTTCTCTAGGATTTTCAACTGAAAGCCTAGTGTATTCTGCAGAGTTCATTCCCCTGACAGAGTTCAAACTTTAAATTTTGTCTGTCAAAGCTGCTAAAAGAAAAGAAAAAACAAACAAAAAAAACCCTCTACTCTGCATTTTTAGAGGCTTTCTACTTAGGTTACTTAGCCTCAGGCCCCACACAGCCTCAGTCTTCAGCAGAAGAAGTGCTGTGAGGGGGAAACTGGCCATATGCTTTGTTGGTCTGCAAGTCCCTGCCCAGTGCTCTACTAGTTTATCTGACTCTCAGCCAAGATTTTCAGCTTTCTGCCTATGTTCAGAATCAGCAAGCGCCTCCAGGGTAAAAGTGGCCATGAAAGGGCAGCTTACCTTTTGTAGGTTCTTTTCTTTCTGGAATCATAGCCCTATGGTTTTCATTACTTCAGCAACTCTCTGGTGTCATCAGATAGAATTCTGAATTTCATCTGAATTTTTGGTAGTTCTAGGCAAGTATACTGGTCTTTCTATGAACTATTTCTTTACTTGAAAGTTTGGTCCTATTTTCTTTTTATGGCCAGCATCTAAGGCAGGACCTGGAACCTAGAAGACATTATAAATGCTGTGTAAATAAATATGTGAACAAATAAACAATTGGTTTAATTTGCAGTTTTCTGCTCTAATGAAAGGACAGTTAATCTATTTAATTCAACAAAGTTTATAATCCAGAGATCTTTTCTACTTGGCTTTTAAATGTCCAATTTTGTGGTGGTGGTGTTTTTTAAATGCCAGAGGGCATGTGCATGCACATGAGATAGAGCACGAGAGAGTTCCCCACCCCACCCCAATGAGGGCTGATCATGCTACAATTCTTTTTCCTCAAATTCTTCATTCCTTCAGGATTCTGGGGGTGTGTGCACACCTGGCATATTTTTCTTTTCTTTTTTCTTTTTTTTTTTTTTGGAATTTTTAAACATAATTTTTTTTAGAAAGAGGTTTTTGCTACAGGGTGTGTGCACTTGCCAGACAGAGAGAAACAGAGAGACAGAAAGCGAGAAATCACCCCCCAGGGAAGATGGCCACGCCGCAATCCCTTCTCCTCCATTCTCCTCTCGGGATCTTGGGCATGCACGCACACGCGCCCGGCGTAAGTTTTTAAGCCACCGGGTTCGGGATGTGAACCCTGGTCAACTACGTGGAAGTCCAGCGACAGCCATTACGCCAACTGCTGGTCCCTGACATGTTTTTCAAGCCACCAGGCCAGGACTTGAACCCTGGTCAACCATGTGGGATCTAGCTTCCTCTGTGTAGCACTTAACCAGTGCGCTGTGGGGTTGGCCCCACTTTATTTGTTTTTAATAGTTTTGTGAGGTAT